GGCCAAGGGGGTGACCATGCCTGTGGTATCATGGGAGGGCTCAAAACAGGAAGAAGCTCTCTTCTACTTGCCAGGACCAATTGATTCCCCAGGACTACAAGTGTTTGTAGAAACTGTCACAGGGCTACCCCCTTGACCTGTGCTGTTGAGAAAACACAGAACAGATGAAAATATGGCGTGGGGAGAAGAGGACCCTGAACCTCAGGGACAAGCAAAGTCCCCTTCTTGCTGGGTGAGGGATTTATGAGGTGAGAAAGCTTCTCACTCCATTCCATCCTGACAGGGTCCGTCAGGCTTGGGTGTTCCACTTGGCAAGTGTAAACCTCTCCACTCTGAGGAACTGTTTCCAGCATCACCAGGATCTGGAAGGTCCAGTCTCCATTACGGATCAGGCCTGTGGAGACAACCCCAGCCTTCTCTTCCTGGCCATTCCGGAACCATCTGACTTCAATGTTGCCTGGGTAGAAACCGTTCACAGAGCAGACCAGGAGGCTGTGGTGCTGCAGGGGCTGGGTCCTTGTAGGATACACGGTCACCTTGGGCTGAGCTAGGAGAGAAGAGGGGAGAGGGTAAGTGAGGACGACAGGGCAATCTGCTTGTCCGTCTTTCTGCCCCTCTACAAGCCCAGGCTCCCGTCTCAGGCCTTCACTTAAATAAACGATATGATCTAACAGTGTCATGAGCCTTAAGTGTATTCTTATAGTAGAGACCCATAAGATTTCAGAGATGTTAAGAAAAATTGTCATTGTTTTGTTCATAGTCTAAAACTGTTACTCATTGTTGAGTCAAAATGTTTTAATTTTTTTTTTTTTTCAAAGCGGGACCTGCAGTTGGCATAATGGCTGTGTTTCTGGATTCCCATGTAGCTGACCGCAGTTCGAGTCCTGGACCCTGTGGTTAATCTAATACCAGGCACATGTATGTGTGTGCCCAAGATCCCGAGGGGAGATTGGATAAGGGATTGCGGTGCGGCCTGGCCATCCCTCCTGGGGGTGATTTCTCACTTTCTCTCTGTCTCTCTGTGTCTCTCTGTGTTCCTGGCAAGCACACGCGCCCTATAGCAAACACCTCTCAAAAAAAAATAATTTTTTTCAAAGCAAAGTATATGAATTAACAGAGTGATTTCTGGAGCTAGTGTGCCTGGTTCAAATCCAGGCTCTGCCTGTTATTTGTTGATCCTAGAAGAGTTTTAAAATTCCCCTATGCCTCAACTGTCTCACCTACAACACAGGAAAAAATACTGATTTATGTCTTGAGGTTATAAAAGGACTAATGTGTCTAAAACATATAAAATAATGTTAGAATTTAACCTTGAATTCACGTTAGTTATCTATTATCCTGTTTACCCTGAGAGAAAAATGTGATACAGAGCTAGGCACGGTGATGCATATTTATAATCCCAGCTATATGAGAG